GGGGCTTTCCTGGCTTTGAGCTTTCTCGCAGCCCTAACTACCTCCTCCCCTGACACGGCCATTTCCTCGCACCACTCCTGCAGAGGCTCCTCTTCCTCCGGATCCTCCACCTCGCCAAGAGCGGTCCCCCTTCTCCTTGCCGCCACGGGGAATAGGGTGTCCACCACGCGGTCAAGGAATTCCACCCTGAGTGATTCCACCGTCGGGGGGGCTCCACAGGACAGCTTCTTCAAAACTAGCCTATAGGGCCTTCCCCAGGGATCCTCATCGAGTGCCTCTATCAGGTCAGACCAGGCCTTCTCCTTGGCCTTCCTTATGGCCTGCTTCAGCGCGACTCGACTCTCCCTGTAGGCTGTCAGCAGAGCCTCCAGGCGTTCACGCGTGATCGGACGCCTCCTTTCCCTTTGCAGAGTTCTCTTGTTCTTTATCGAGGCTCTCCTGAGCTCGGCGATCGCGTCCGACCACCAGTACGCGTTTCTTCTAGGCGAGAACTTCACCCTGGGCATCGATCCGTCGCATGCCCTAGTGAGAAGCTCTCTCAGTCTTTCTGCCTCTTCGTCCACGTCTCGCATCGGGCCTGGCCGTGCCCAATTAGCCGCTATCAGCATAGCAAGCAGCGCATCGCGATCAAGCTTGCTGACCGCCCAACGGACGCGCGTGCCAGCCTCCGGATCCCCGGCCCCTCTCGCAGTGAGTCTGGTTAGGGACGTCTCGATGTATAGGTGGTCGGAAAGCGTTTCCACCTCTTCTAACACCCTCCAGCTCTCCGTCCATGCTGCCGCTGCTGGAGACGTCCACGTGAGGTCTATTACAGACTCACCTTGCACCCTTACACACGTGCTTACCCCCCCGTGGTTCTCCAGTTTGAGTCCCAATCTAGCCGCCCAATCTGCGACTTCTGTCCCCCTCGTGTCTGGCCGCCGGGAGCCCCAATCCGCGGACTTCGCGTTGAAGTCCCCGGCGACCAGAATAGGCCTGGGAAGGACTCTTCTTATTTCGCCCTCCATTCTGTCGAGCCTATCCTCGACTTCCGCTCTGCTCAGACTGGGCCGAAGGTATACGCTCATTATCAGCAGAGCGTCGCAGTCTACGAGGACCCATCCCTCACCCTCGCTAACTTTGGTCCAGGGAATGTGCCTTGGGCCTGTTCTGCGCCAGGTGATGGCAGCTGAGCCATCCGCACTCACGGCCCAGTTGGGGCTATTGGGCACGTTGTACGGCTCCGCCACTATGCCGACTCCGCAACCACGCTCCGCCAGGGTGTGCAGGAAAAGGTCCTGCGCCTGGCGGGCGTGGTTGAGATTCGCCTGCAGCGCTCTTAGTCGCGTGAAGGCGCCGTCTCGGCGGCTTCCTCCAAGCCGCTTACGTCCATGTCCTCAGTCGGGGCGCCCTGGCTTTGCGTTTCACGCGCAAGGCTTCCCCTCCTGAGACCCACCGGAGTTTCCGAGTGGTCCCATTCCAGGGACCCTTCTTTCCCTTTCTCCACCTCCATCAGCGAGCGTGGCTCCTGGGTCGGGACTGCCAGTCGTCTCTCCTCCTGTTTCCTCCTTTTTATCGCCCTCTTGGAGACGGGCGGGCAGGCGTTTCCCCCTGCCTTGTGCGCATCAGGCAGTCCCCTGCCCTTGCACACGATACAGCTGGGTTTAGAGGAACACTCGGCTGATTTGTGTCCCTCCATCCCACACCTATAACAGGCGCCCGAGCGGTCCACCTTACTCCGGCATTGCGCACGGACGTGACCCCGCTCGAGGCACCTGTAGCACACGAGCGGTCTCGCCTCGAGTAAATCTACCCGGGCCGAGACCCACCCGATCCTCAAACGGCCGAGTGCTGCCACCCGCTTCGCCGCCTCCAGGGGGCACTGGGTCCACGCCGCGCCAAGGCCATTGGTGGCCCTCCTAATTGGACCTACCCTGACGTCCTGGCCCGGGCACAACCCAGCCCTTTCAACTGCCTCCCGCACTTCCTCTTGACTGACGGAGTCATCCAGATCCTTTATCCGGAGTTCCGCCAGCTTGACGGGGCGCGTCACCCTTACCCCCTCCGTGGTCCCTACCACCTCCCTGATACGTTGTACCAGGGTGTCCGCCTTGGGGTGCGCATTCTCCCCTGGGATTTCTAAAATAAGCGCACCAGTGAGCCCTCTTCTGGGCCTTACTTCCTCTATTCCAATGTCCTCTAGTTTGACCTTGGATCTGATCATGCGGAGCCCCTCCTCGTACCTCCCTTCTGGGAACGTCAAAGACACCGCGGCCGTCCTCGGAGTCTTCCTCTTGCTGCCGTTGTTCCGGGTCCCTGTATCTTTCCGCGCCTCTCCTCCGTTTTTACCCCCGCTTGCCTTCCCAGTCGGGGGCGCCGTCCCCGTCTTGGGCACTCGCTCAGGGCCCGCTGCCGCGGGTGCTGGTTGGGAGGCTGACTTGGCGTCCTTGTTTCTCCTACCCTTTCTCACCACCTCCGTCCATGGGGTGTTATAGGTTGGTGGTGCACCCCCTCTTGGCTGTCTCTGAGGCAGAGGCTGCTTCGTGTTCTCACTGCCTGCTGCCTTGCTCGTCGACGTCGCGGTTGGCCTTGCATTCTTGGAGATCTCACCCGTCCTTGGTTTTCCCTCCGCTCCTGATCTTGAACGGTCTCGGGGGGTCTTACGCGCGGTTTTCCCGTCTTTCGCCTCTTTTACCACCTTCATACTGACGATGGTCGGTAGTTTTCCTCCCTTGTCCATCGGAGTCTTGTCCGGCGCCGTTGTCTCCGTCGGAGTCGTTTCCAGAGCGCCCGCATTCGCGTCCCCGGCTTTGCTGGCACTCGGTAGTCCGACCATGACACCTGTGCACCTCGCCGCCAAATTCTCCAATTTGGTCTTGACCTCTTGCGGGTTACCAGTTAACACCGCTTCGATGGAGACGCCTTCCATGACCCTCCTTACGTTCTCCATTGCATCCTCTAGTGGCGGATCCTCTAGTCGCCTTCTATCCCCTCTCAGTCTGGGCCTGAGAACCGGGAAATCGTCCTCCTCCTCCTCATCCGGTAGCGCCACGTGTCTGGCTTCCTCCGTGAATGTGGATGTTCCCTTCTCCTGGGCTCGGAGTTTTCGGGTCAGCTCCGAGACTTGGTTCTCTAGGGACCTGACTTTCCTCCTGAGAGAGTCCATCTCCGCCCTGTCCCTGCCGTCCTCTAGTCTTGTGGCCTTCGTGGTGAGGGCCCTTGCCGCAGCTCTTATTCCCTTCGCACTCTCCTTGAGCTCTTTTACAAATGTACCTTTAAGGTGTTTTGAGCCCACTGCTACTTTGACCACTTTGTCGGCGTAGTTCATCATGTCCGCTCCTATTTGTTCCGCGGGCATCTCCTCCATTTGTCTCACCAGTTCAGCCTCTGGTGTTGTGCAGCGGGGACGGACTTCAGGATCCAGAACCCTCTTCAGCAGCTTCTCCTCCTCTCGGAGTTTCCGGACTCGGAGTTTAGCCTCCTCCGTCTTCCGCTTGAGGATTCCGTCGCCGGTCGTTGGCAACCTACCCCTGCCCCTTTTACGTTTTCTCCCATCCATCATCTCAATTATGTAGCCGGTGTCTGATTGCGAGCTTAAGGAGTCCTTATCGGCCTCCGCCCCAACCACATCCACCTCCGCCTCTGTATCTGAACCGTCGATCGACATCGCCGGTGATACCTGCCGCCTAGGCCTTGTCTTAACCGCGGCCTGCCCTGTTCCAGCCTTGAACGAGGCTGGTCCCGCCTTGTTCTTTTTGGCGACCATCTGCTGCCGGTCGTCCACTCTTCGTCCCATGAAAACGCGAACATTGTCGCGGGACGTCGCTCGGGTCTCGGGCTGGTCTGCGCCCTTGCCCCTCCCTACTTCCTCGTATCGGGTCTCTCCTTGGGGCTCTGCCAACCCACCTCCTGTCCCCTTGGATCCGCCCGCTTCTCCGTCTCCTACTCTTTCTCGTGCATGGTTTTTATTTGTCATGACGGCAGGTAATTTAACGCCCGGTTCGCCCATCATGGGACCCCCACCGCAGTGGGGGCACTATCCCCGGTTAAGTAAAGCCCTAGTTATGGGCCGGGAAGCGGAGAGGCCGCTTGTCAGGGAGCCACCCCTATCCCGGCCAGTGAGTCTACAGAAAATGTCCCTGGAGACGGCCAGGCCCACTAATATGTTAAAGGGTTATCCTCACCCCAGGAGCGGGGCGCGTGCCGATCCGATCGGTCGCTCACCCCGCCCCCGGGCTAGAGCTTGCCGAGGAACTCTCCCCCTCAGCTGGGTATGGGAGGTCGGCGGCTGACCGGCCCCCCCACACCCGCGCCCGGACTGCCGGCTTCAACTCCCTGC